TTGCGAAGTTGGGATTTAAAAGCACGAGGAAAATATAGAGAATCTGTCGTCTGCAAACTTGGACCAGTATAAAATAAGCCACGGCCGACAATGCGCTAACTACATTATACTTACCTGCAAAAGTGAGGCTGTAGTATTAGGGAGTTTTCGAATAGTGTATGTAAAGATTTGCCTTGGCATTGCAGATGCGTCGTACGCTCGCCTTTTCCGAGATCCCACACAAGTGACGAACGCTAACGCTACGTGCGCAAGCTTTTCGTACGCTATTCGAAAACAGCCTACTGCAGCTCTATGGCTCACTCGCACCAAAAACTAAAACGCAAATGCGTGAGGCAGTCAGTGCAATCGCATGACACGCTTATACGCCTGATATGGGGGGCTACCAATTGTTTCATTTTTTTGTTTTTTCTCGAATTTCTGAAATACACGGCAACTGAACCAACCACTGTAATCAAGCACACGTGATGTCATTAGCACGGCTGTCAAACAAAAAAAAAACGCAAACGGTCGAACGCCGGTAATGGACAGCTGGATAGACGACATCCATCCAAGAAAATAGAACACTTAAGTGATCGACAATGGCGAGAAAGAAAAGTGACCTAATCGAGCGTGGAATGTTTTCAAGAGGCGACGAACAAAACGCTGGAGTAAAGCGACGCGAAGCAACCGAAAACAACGACTGTGACTAAGAGAAGTCTGCGACTCCGTTTCAGTGACTTTGTCTAGTCTCCATCACATCGTCCTGAGCGTAGTATGTTCTATCCGCAAAGTAGAACCCTACCACGGATCACTGCTAGGAAGGTACTAGCTGCTTTTCATAGAGCAAAAGTCGCATGCAGATAACAGCTGAAGAGGGGAGGGTTGGGGGGTGCTTCGAGCCGTCGGAAGCAGACGTGTGCTTTGAGGGACTCGGCATGGTCGCACACAGTGAATACTTGGAGGCGATCAGCCCTGATGGCGTATACTTTTGCACGTGCTGTGCTCTCATAGGAAACATTGCATTGAAGAACCAGAAAGCACGAACGTTACTTTGCTGCTGAAGTCAGCGTCTAGCCGTACTTCGCATAACATTGCCATTTATTGCTATCGCAACCATTACTTCACCTTTGCAGCAAAATATCGACACTTCATTAAAATACAGGTCGCTGTACCAGGATATATCTAGGTGGTGCAGAAACTACTCAGTGAATAGTGGGCGAGCGGGGTCACAAAGACCGAAGAAAGCAGGGTGACATGTAGAGCAAACAACAAAAGCAACATATGGTGGCGATGCAAGCTGGTGAGCCAGATGTTACGACTGTGATCTAGGTCAGTTCAGAAACTATCAATTAGGAGAATATTCAAGAAAAACGAAAAAGAAGTCACAACTTTGCTGCAAAGGTGAAGCAATGAACGCCATAGCAACGAATTGGAAGGTCACGCGCAGAGTGGAAAGCAGATCGAAACGTGCCCCGCATTTCCCACGCACAAATGATGCACTAAACGAACTCACAGATGCACGCGAATAAGCGTCACAGTTGTTACATCACTGTGTCTGAAAAAAGTGCCCTTTTTTACAAATGAAGACTGTGTAGCTATCGCAGTGACATTTGTCCACCCGGCAACTGCAACATAATCGTTCCAGGTAAAGCCCGACGCCAGCCAAGATGTACGACCCTCCCCTCCTCCCCACCACTAGATAAGGGAGCGTCGGTTCCCTACTCTGAGCGGGGCAAAGTACGCGTGGGAGATTAGAGCGCGCACCGCCACGCGATGTGGCGACGTGCACTGATTGCGCCATCTAGCTAGTAATGCTGAAACACGAACTACCCTCGAGATGCCCATGAGCAGCGGTAAGTGGTAGATACAAATAGCTTGCCATTTAAGTAGTGCAGAACGTGCTTCTTGGTGGCTCAGTGGTTAACGTCTTGCACTCACGATTGAGAGGACCTAAGTTCGATTCCGCACGCCTAAGTCTTTTTCTGTTTCATTTCCTTTTTTTTTTGCATTTTCACACACACCCACACACACACACACACACAAACACAAACACACACCAATATATATATATATATATATATATATATATATATATATATATATATATATATATATATATATAACGTAACGCCGACGTGACGCCAGCGGCACAATCCAGCGGAGTGTCCATATAATTGCTATGGCAATAAAATGCGTGTTTAGGCTTGATCTAGCTGTGAAATACATATGAAGTATCAAGAGTGTTCACCAGGACCCGAGGTATTTAGAAAACTAAGCACGTTGCACTGTGAAAACAAAGTGTTTTATGCTCTGGAACCACAGTATTTCTATAAAATGCGTACAGCTGTAGGTAACGCACCACAGTTAATAGGCACCTTTAATTGGGCACCTACAGCAGCTCTGCTGACGACCGTTGATATTGAAAATGGCCGGCACGTGTGCGCAAAGCTGGTGCGGAAACCATACTAAAACTGGCTATTACGATATAAGCTTGGCAGTCAGTACAGCACCTCCACGTGATGCAGTCAGTATATCCAGGATCACGATAATATGACCAATTGGAATTTCATACGGTACATGATGGCGACGGCAGTGACAGGCCGAGACTGTCCGCATAGTTCTCATTACAATAATATTCATCCAGTTCAGAGGTCCATGACATGGGCTACTTTACAGTCATGAGACCGATTACTCGTCCCTAACAGGGAAAGCAAGGAAACGAGAAAACAGGAAAGGCAAACTAAGCATGACTGTAATGGGGAACTTGAATATTACTATACATACGCAATACAAAGAAGGTTAAAAAAAACCGAGAGAATGATATGAAGAAAAATGAGCGCATAGCGAGAAACAGTCGCGTCCCACCACGCGAACTCCCGTTGACAAACGGCGCGCGCCGCCAACCAAAGCCGCGGATTTCCACGGCAGCCGGAGTAATGGCGCGGAAAAAAAGAATAGAGCTTCGTCAGAGACGGCAGGAAAGGGCGAATGGTGCGCAGTTGTGCAGAGAACGAAGAAATGGAAGAGGACTAATAGAAGACGGCAATATGGACAGGCGGGGCATGCAAAGAAAGAAAGAAAGAAAGAAAGAAAGAAAGAAGAGAAAGAAGGAAAGAAAGAAAGAAAGAAAGAAAGAAAGAAAGAAAGAAAGAAAGAAAGAAAGAAACCTCTCGAACTGAGAATCTGTCGCACTCGATCCTTGGTTGTCGGCGAGTCCTTTTGTCTCGGCTAGCGGACGTCTCATCCTTTTGTTTTGCTCTCTTTCATGCATGCGGGGCGGCTCATTAGGTATTGAGCCGGGTGGTTTCCCGTTCGCCATTGGTCCACGCACTTCGTGAACCAAATGTGCTCTACATCAGCGTCCTCACATATAAAAGAAAGGGGGAAGGTCTAACGGCGGCTTTCAAGACAGTCAGTGTCCCCGTCTCTCAAGAATTGGGCGTTCTGCGAGTTGCTGCCCAAGGACGTCTTCTATCAAAAATAAAGCGTTCAGTCCAGCCGGGGTCTGCGGCGTCCTCCGTTCGTATCGGCGCGCGACAGCCATGAATAGGCCGCAAAAAGAAGAAAGCGGGTATCAATACAGCCACAAAACAGTGCACTCTTCATGACACGTTTTGAGACCACTTTACAGAAGAAGAGTTTCGGTACCACCAGAGTTAGCTGCAGACGTGCCGTTTGCAGTCTACAACTAAATGAACACTGCTACGGTAGACGCATACGGATGAAAGCGGTAGGGTGTTTGATGTTTCAACACTTTATTGTGATGCACTACAAGAAAACATTCAACTGTCTGATGAGCCGGTGGGGACGTGTTTGACATAGGTATTTTCCGAAGATTGCTACTTTCCCTAACTTGTCCGCCACTTCTTGGCTGTCAAGAGACGACGAATCATTTATTCAAAACATTTCTAGAACGTTTGCGCGATGGGCCACATGATAAACTGCAGCGGTGACTGCGCCCTATAGTACGGCTAACACTCGATGATAATGGATAATGCGGTAATAACACTGAGTAAAGGGAAGAATAACTACTACGCAGAATGACAGGCTTTTCAGAAGAGGTGCACCTATTTTCATTCACGCATACGCTATTAATCACGAAAGATCCATAACATTACTTGTTTTCTTTATTTGTAACTGCCATACTAAAAGAAAAAAAAAGCTGCTGTTTTTATGACACCTGGTATATGTGCTTACCTGACTGCCTTGGCTATGTTTCCACGCTAACTGGCTAGGTGGCAGGGCTGTGTTTAGAAGCACATTGCTTGGTTTGTTGTCGCTTTAGTTAGGTAGGATGTTGATTGTGAACGAAGACTAAACACGAAGTTCTGCGTTAAGCTCCGGAAAGCCCCTAATTTAACGCGCGACGTCGTTTAGCAATCATGTGTAGGTGAGGCACTTTCAAAAAATCCTATTTTCTAGTGACACAAAGGTTACGTGAATGCCGAAATTCAGTGCTAGACGATCCCTGATCGTTCAAGCATCGTATCTAAAATTTTCTCTGCTTTTCACTTCCAACAAATCCAGAAATGTTAGAATTTTGCATAAATAGCCAAGAATATTAGTTTAATATTAACTACGACCATTACTTGATAAGTGGCATTTTCTGTTATTGCCTACCTTTGCGGTGCAACGTAGATGAAAATATTGTATATTTAAAATCTTTCACTTGTGAATGGTCTGTAATCTTGCTCTAACCACAGGCTAAGTGTTTCTATTAAAATCCTATATATCGCTTACGTGAATACGGCGACAAAAAGGCTCCTCATCTCTTCACTTACTATTTAAGCTGTAAACGATGTCGCTGAATATTTACTAATTATCTGTAATATCAGCAATCTTTTTTTTTCTGCACTCTCCCTGGGGGCCAATTATAGTAAACCAAGCCGCCCACCAGACAGTTACGTTCCCCACAAATAGAGATGCTTCTATCAAATTAAATTCAATTTGCTTGTAAAAGGCACTTCTGAAGCCAGCTATATTGCCCTCGGACATGCAAAGGAGAACACAGCATAGCTCACCTTTATGGTCTTGTTCTGTAATCGCAGTCCGTTCAGCGTGTTGATTGCTTTCTCGGCATCCTCGGGCCGGACGTAGTTCACGAAGCCATAGCCTAAGCTTTGACCTGTGAGGGCGCACAAAAGAGGTGCATGAGCCACGTGGGGCTAAAACACAGACTGAAAACGAAAAGAGGCGCGAGGTAAGTCAGCGCCGCGACAAGTCACTACGGCAAACATAAAAAATACAGGGTCATATATCTTTATTTTATATTTCAGCCCCGAAAAACCTCTATGGAATGAGCATCTTAAAAGTTAATACAGTAAGTTATTAAATTCTATGTTTTTTTGCATGTTATGAAGCACGAAACAAGACAAAAAGAGTATGCGGGGAGTATTTTCACCACAAAACCATGATCGTCATCGGTCTTTGTTCCCCTTCTTTCTTTTTTTTTTTGAATATTGGTTTTTCCCAGTTATTTGTCGGAAACACATATGTCACACTGATAGTCCTGAGACGTTCCTTGACAGAGAAGAGGCCGGGGCTGCGGTGATAGCGTATGTGAAGCACGTGATACACGTAGCAATTTTGAGTTGTGCGCGGGAACACTCCGACAATACCTAATTTTTATAGGTCGTACCTTAAAACCCATCTGTATCAAACTCCGGTGAACCGAATTGTCCTTGATATCGAGCAATTCTCAAAGGCGGCACTTGTTCACCATTCAGACATAGGAAAAATCACGGGCCACATCGCCACATCGAACCAAGCACCGACTACTACGATACAGCCAAAAAAATTTGCTCTGTAGGTGTTTTCATTTCGCAATATGTTGAAGGGCGACTGCCTTACTAGCCGAGAGACCACGGCAGGCAGCGCGTGGACGCGTTCCACAACAGCCGCCACAGACAGGCCTCCAATCATGCAGCACTTCATTTCCATATATGGTATTTGTGGACGCCCTTGCTGCGTACCTTAGCCACGGCATAATCGACGACCACACGACGGCGCGCATAACTGTAAAGCCGCGGAACCTGCCGCCTCGCCACTGTTTGTCATTCCCTCCTCCTTGCGCTCTCTTTGCTATTGCCGCCTCTCACCCTCTACTGCTCTCCGTGCTCGCTCTCTTTCGTCCTCTTTCGCTCCGCTGGTTACGACCACGCCGATACCGCTAAATGTAGGAACGGCCGCCTAATAGCTGCGCTCCAACAACTGTAGCACTTGGTATATAGAACGTCGGGCAGTGCATTACATCCCCAATAGGTTGGTTTTCTCTCAAAATAAGTTCGCTTTTGCTCGCGGAACGAAACTTGCATTTGAGAGAATGAGTGGTGTCGTCTGAAGGAGGCGCGCGGAGCGACTTCAAACCATCGCTTGCCATCGCGAGCTTTCTCCAGCGACTCATCGACGTTGGGGCCGTCGTGCGGCGTTACCGTTCGCTTCTTCAACTGTCTTTGTTGACGCAATGGCTGCCGTACAACGGAACAATATGGCTTGTTTCTGCGCGAAGCTGGAGATAGTCTACACACTTGACTGTAGCAGACAATTAAACCAGCTCTGCCTCGCGTGCACCGATTAACCGCGAAGCTTGTGGCAGTTCGCCTTCGTGACGCTGTCAAACTTCTACGTTTCGCGAGTCTTCAAGTTATGTTGTGCTTCTACACTTCAATAAATACTCTTTGGTAAGCTTTGAGGTGGAAGTATATTTTCATTGCACCTTGAGTATACCCCTCTTATATACATGCTTACACCAAGAAGTCGTCAATTGAGATGCTTCACTGCGGTGTCTCACTGCTTTTTATTAAACACTCTTTCTTATGCTTTGAGGGGTGGTAGCGTAGCCACCACCTCTTAATCCCCTTTCCGCATCGCGTGATGGTCGTGTGATTGTGGTAATGCACTCGGCATTTGTTGGGCTAGTCATTGCCTTCCTTTTCTTTAGTGAAAGTTGTGTGCAGTGAAACTTGTGCGATTTCTATCGCACATACACGTTTATGTAGAATATAGTTTAGCTGATAGTTCGAAAATACTTCTGTGGCGCATACCATTCTGTTTTGTTAACTGTTAGCTCTATATTTACTGGACCACTGTTGATGAGTAGTGGAATTTACCTAATATCCGTGGGTGCACACCACTTAATTATGCTTACAAGTGCTACCACGGATCCCGGGCATGAAACTCTCGACCAAGCTCAGCTTCGCTATCAAAAAAATTGCGACGTCGCCGCAGCGTTTAGCTTCCCGAGAAGCACGCTAAGCATGATTCTGCAATACAACGCCAACGTTATGCCCAAGGAAGCCGTGCTTCCGATGCCCAACGCGTACGTGTAGCTGCGTTGGAATATTCCGAGTGGATGTTTACATAGGTGCCACATTTTTTTCGCCTTAGAAACCACGCCTTCACAGAACCCGCACCCTAAACTACAAATCTCCAAAAAAAAAAAAAAAAACAAAATATATCTCGCGTATGGCCGTAGGCCGCCTTTTTTCCCCTATTGTAGAGTAATGCAACGAAGCCGGCTTACACAGCAAAATTTCCATCAAAAATACGGCAAAATTTTAAAAGTATTAGGTCAAATTGAAATAGAAATGTGCGGATACAACTATATCATTTACTTTATTGCCACATTCTTTCACAATTAAAAGCACTTGTACACACGTTTCATTTCTTTTTAATATTATTGTATACATACTACTGTTTCTGGTAGATCTGTCAGTACACTATATATTGTGTTTGACGTGCCGTTGCCTAGTAGTAATACTGTAATAAAAGGAGTGAGCTTGACTTAATCCATTCGAGTGGGACTTTGCTTGTTTCATCCATATTGTGCTTTTTTTTTTTGCAAATCAATGCTACTACGTCATTGCCTGTGCCTTTCAAAAACCGACGACCCAACCACGTGAAGGGGACTAAAACTAAACTATCATTCATCACTAATAAAACAAACGCTACGTACACAAGAACAAAACGTCTGCTAGTACGAAAAGAGAGAGAGAGAGAGCACCCCTCAACTTCTCTCTCAGTGCTGGCCTGCCAAATATGTAACTACTTAAAGAGCTTCATACGATGACTTTCTAATGGGAACACAGATACCTCCAAGCAGGGTTAACGTGTGCTTTGCAAGAAATTTACATATTTCCAGAGTAAACATTCATAAAAAAAGGCGAATCAGCGCATCGAGGGACGTTAGACAGGACCGCTATCTGGCAGTTATCTTCAAAAACCAAACGCCCCGCCGCGGTGGTCTAGTGGCCAAGGTACTCGGCTGCAGAGCTTCAGGTCGCGGGATCAAATCCTGGCTGTGGCGGCTGCATTTCCGATGGAGGCAGAAATGTTGTAGGCCCGTGTGCTCAAATTTGGGTGCACGTTAAAGAACCCCAGGAGGTCGAAATATCCGGAGCCCTCCACTACGGCGTCTCTCATAATCATATGGTGGTTTTGGGACGTTAGACCCCACATACCAATTATCAAGAACCAAGGGAAGCGTGCGCACCCACGGAGAAAGATGCGCGCCTGTCTCGGAAGCGATAAGATGTAGAACGCAACGGAACGGGCAGGTGCCACAACACCGTGTCCTTTTAGCAAAGCGTTGGAAACACTTGCCTTTTTGGGCATCGCATTGCACTGTGAGCGCAGCGTGATATACCCTACGGTCCTTAGAATACGCTTATGTGTGCCTTCTCTAGTATAAAAGCACACGTACAAAACATCGACGTGTTGTTATGGTGCCTCAAAAATGCTCAGTAATTGCTTTTTAATTTACAATCGCACAAGTATGAACGCTGAAATTTCAATATTGGTGGGCGCTGTGGATGGGGTGAGCCGTTTGGGGCCGTTAGAGGTATGGTTACAGCGGACAGACTAATGTACAGACAGATCAAAAGTTTGGCGTCGAAAGTCATCGTCTTTAAAATTGCGTCAGGCGACACAAATGCAAGACCTATGGGTCTGAAAGTGGCACTGGCAGCGCTTCTTCAGTAAACTTAGGTATACCGGATGAACACGAGCATATCTTGATACAGTGTGTGTAAACTGTGCGTGTTGAAGTTGTATGGGTACACTTTTGGTATACTTGTGATTTTCACATTCGCATCTAATAGCCTAGCGAGCCCCTTCCTGTGTGGTTCTGAGAAGTAATATCTGTTTATGCAAATATCTACAAAATGTAAGACTAATTTTAAGTTAACACATATCTTAATATACCGCTTATAACACACAACTGTTAGCCTAACAAAATCAATCGCTTCTAAATATCTCATTTTTATTGCTGTTCTGGACAACTTACACCGGTGTTAGACAAGATGGACTCAAAGACTGTATGCAGGTTCCGTCCCCGTGCCATTAATAAAAAAGTCAAGTAAGTATTTTTATGCGTAGCTTATCTAACCATAGCGTAAACTGAAAATTACTCTAGGGATGTAGCACACACATTCTGAACCTAAATGTTTGCTACTTGAATGCACAGCTTTGTCCATTGTAACTTGTTTTTACGACGATGACAAGGTCACCGTCTAGTACATCAAAGCATGCGGAAAAAATACGTATTGACGTGGTCATTATTTTTTGAAATTACATTAACTACACCATTTAATACGGTGTGTATTTACTAAAGAAGCGCTGGTTGTGTACTTGTGGAAGAAATAGGAATCAATCACTGACTCAGAGAAAGGTAATGAAAAATCATCTGTAAAGATAGTCCTAAACAACAAATGTTGAAAAAAAATAAGCTATAAATTTCCGGCAGCCTGTTTGTTCAGGACTGCAATAGGAAAAACAAATCAATACGTGGAAACTGACGATGTGGCTTATATGCTACGAAGTTCAACAGAATGAAAACGATGTGTGTATACATGAGAAATCCTTTAAGAAGGAGTGCCACAAGAGACAAGGTTCTGATGAGAGGTGTTCGCTTCTTCAAGGCAGCACACACACCTTGTGTTGCTGCATGGCTGCCTTGACGACTTCCAGATCACTTCTCAAAACATTTCTTCTTCAAGAATTTTACGTATAGCAACCAATATGTTGTACCACATGACAAAAACGGCAAGACTATAGGTGTACATCAACGCCACACAGAGCCACTTGGAGAAACTACAGCGAAATAGTAGCAGGTGGCGCTGTAACAAAACAAGGTCAACAGAACAACAGCTACGTTGTGAAACTCAACCAAAACAATAAAAGCAGTGGGTTCAAAACAAACAAAAGAAAATGTCTACATACGGATCGGTGGTGAGGTGCCTTCTTCTAGAGATACCGGAACCAAGGCAGAAGCGATTCACCAAATCGGGAGCGGGTTTTTCAGATCCGGGTTAAAGGGGCAGGTTGGGAGAGGCAGCGTTCGGTTAAGTCAAAGAAGCGTTGAAGAAAGGTTAACGTAGAGGAGGCAAGCGAGATTTAAAAAATAAGGCAGAGGAAAGAGGGGGACCGAGGTGCGTGTTAGTGAAAGTGAGTGAGCAGTAAAGAGCGTGGCAGAATGTAGCCAAAGTTAGTGTGAACAGCGATGAAGTGAATTCGTTCGAAATCGAAAACGTGCAGTACGTGGGAAGAGAAGATACGTTCGAAGGGAAGCGTGGAAGGTGCAAGAAAAAAAAAGCACGAAAAAGGGGCAATGAATTATTCGAGTGTTTTAGTGAAGCGACGAGAAGTGCGTTAGGACGGCATGCGGGAAAAAATTAGGTGTGTCATAAATATTTCAGTGAGGTGTGCGGAGTGTCAAAAAATAAAAAAAAACAAGAACATAGCCGAAAAAAAACAGGGTTATTAAATGTTACGGCAAGTAGCAGAACGGGAAATGAGGGAAAAATGGGTGGGGGAGTTGGGAGAAAAAAAAAGAAGACAACATATTGAATTAGAAAGTAAAAAAAGTACACTCACAATAACTTACTGTACATTTCAGCAATGCACGAAATAACGCAGGAGAAAATAAAACAAGAAAATGTTACCATTAAAAAAAAACTAAAAGCAAAAATTACAGACAGCAGCAGCGATTCTTCGCTTGCATGAATTAACCCTTTCATGCAGATACGCTTCGAACACGCTCATTGGGGAAAAATGGGGACTCATTTATTGCGGCGTGCAAGCTCATTCATAGACGTGAAGAAACGCATGAATATTAAACAGGGGAGTGGCGCTCAAAAATGAAATATTAAGCATTTAACCAGCGTTATCACCACGATTAAGCGAGTGAACTCCATGCATTCTCAGGCTGGCAGACAGTGTCACCATAAATTGAAATATTTTTTTTTGTAGCGTCCGACAGGAGATACAATTGCGGTTAGTTTAGTAATACAGAAACTACACTGCGTCGCCACACGTCAGCCTCCAGTCTATTTAAATCCTAATGAGCCTTATAATGAATATCCGAGGTAATTAGCATTGTTTGTTAACATGAATTACTTAAACATATTTACTACAAGCTCAACGCAAGTGAATACACTAAATACAGACCGCTGCAAGCGATACAAGTGGCCATTTGGAGTGCGATTTAAGAAAATTGCCAAAAAAATTGCAGACACTTCGTAATATTAGGATTTCGTACAGGGCTCCCCAAAGCGTGGGGACCGTAAGCTCTTGTGCTCTGTTGCACTCCCGCTGCAAAGGAGAACAATGCAAGAGACGTACAAACAAAGAGATCTTTAGTAGTGACGCTTCAAGCATTCAGCTTACCGCGCGTTTTTTTTTTTTTTTTAGGGGCGAAGCTTCTTATGGCGTGGCTTGGGCGTCCCTCGTATGGAACCACCAGTGGCACATACCCGAAATAGGTATAACACTTGACCTCCAAGGTGGTGCCAGTGAGAGATTTCTTCTGTGCGTTGTTTAACAATAAAAAATAGTGCTCAATGTACATGCCAATTGCTGTTAATGGGGAATGAGAGACATGAGCATTCGGCTTTTAGTCAACGCGCACGCTGCGATCCCCATTAGCAGCCATTGGCATGTACATTGAGCACTATCAGACAAGAAAGGGATGCTACATTATACTCGCTGGGTGTAACCTCCTTAGCTTTAGAAAGGTTTAGCGAGCGTTGAGCCGCAGTGCCATGAATACAATGAACTTGTATATACCATGAATGAACTCAAGGTGGTTAAAAATGAGAAGTAGATACGAAGCGCAAGCCGTAAGAAAGTAAAAGCCGAATTCTCCTGTCTCTCATTTCTCATTAGCAGCCATTGGCATGTAAATTGAGCCCTATCTGACAGGGAAAGCTTGCTACGTTATACTCGCTGGGCGTAACCTCCTTGGTTTTCGAAAGGTTTAGCGAGCGTTTGGTCGCAGTGCCATGAATACAGTGAACTAGAATATACCATGAACTCGAGGTGGTTAAAGGTGGGAAGTGGACCCAAAGCGCAGGCCGTAAGAAAGTGTGCGTGTGCCACCTCTCGTTTAGTCCTTGGAATGTCCGCTGGATGGCGGTGCTTCTATATGGGGAATATATGATAAAAAGATGCGAGATGGTGGGACTTGGAGTGTTGAATAGATGAACGAACGGACACACAAACAGATGCATGGATGGACGCATGAACAGACGCAGGGGCGGATGCATGAAAAAACGCAGAGACGGGCGCACAAACAGACGCATGGACGGTCACACAGACGGACGCATAGACGGACGAATGCTTCGCCCCACTCTCCATCATTCACTCCGTGGATATGCTGCCATTTTTTTTGTACACCTCTTGCGTGTGGTTTGCGAATAGAAGATGGCGACAAGAGCACAAAGGATGCAATAGCTTGGGTGCCGAACGTCCTTTTATCCCAACCACTGAAATATATCTAATGCAAGGCCTCGCTTGGCCGATTTCATGATGAACGGTTGCGTCGCCCGCAATCTCCGACGCCAGTGAAGCGCTCGCCTAGCAGAGCCGTCTCCTCGGACTCCTTCGACCGTGTGCCCCATCTTTCCTATATTTCTTCTCTCTTTTTTCTTCGCTCGTGTCCACCGAGTGCTCCGTCTATTCTTTTGATCCAATCTTCCCCTCTCCTCCTCCCCGCACCCTACAAGGAACTACGCCATGTCACTAATTAGGCAGACGGAAATTAGGTGGCTTTTACTCTTTCGTCCAGAACCACCTACAACTAAATATGCAAGAGCTAGGAGTACCAACGGGTTAGGCGGCCAAGTATTATAAGTGTTCTGTAATTCACCAGGCATGGGCAAAAGTCTCGCAGTGCAGAATGGCTACGTTATGTTGTGTGATCTCAGTACCGAATCATCAAGGAAGCTAAAATCACAAAGAAAAAAAAAACGTTCTGTCTCAGTGTCTCGTGTATTCGCACTTTACCACGTCGTAGCCAGAGTCCCAAGCCTTAGCAAGCCATGCCAGCCACAGCAAAAGTTACCATGTCATAGGTAGAGTCAACTGCGGTGGAGCAGTGGTTATGGTACTCGGCTGCTTACCCGGAGGTCGTGGGTTCATTGCCGGCAGCGGCAGCCGCATTTCGATGGAAGGGAAATGCCACAGGCCCGTGTACGATGCGATGCCAGGGCATGATAAAAAACACGGTATGGTCGGACTTTCCGGAGCATTCCGCAACGGCGCTTCTCATAATCGTGATTTTGGGACGCAACACCATACAAGTTTTATTCCACAGCAGGAGCGGCATGTTCTCTATTGCGGAGATATAATGTGCCATACCACCTATATTAATGCGCCCAGAGTACTTATAAGGCAAGCATAAAAGCAACAGTAAATTGCACAGTACACGTAAACTCAGTGAAGTAAAGTCAATTAAAATGTTTAGTAAAAGTGGAATACGTGCGAATGTCGTTAAATATGTGTCTTCAAACAAGATTGAATCTAGGAGAGAAATAAGGGTTTGTGATCATAAACCGTTGAATAAGCAATGTGGTTGAAAACAAATTTAGAGTCTAAGAAACGTTATCGTAAGCCGCACAATTCCAAGTAATTTCCCCGAAATGCAACAGTATACATTAGGGTACCTCGCAACTGCACTCGCAGTAGGCATCACACGATAGTCTGAAACAGCCATACGTAATTCACATAGGCATTCTTTTCCTTGTGACATTGTGCACGCCGAGCAGCAAAGCTAGGCTAGCAATTGACATGGCAATGAGGATTAAACTATCTCGTTGTGCCCTTTAGGTCAAAGTTCAAGCGTACTGCAAATATATTGCACGGTGTGTGTGTGTGTGTGTGTGTGTGTGTGTGTGTGTGTGTGTGTGTGTGTGTGTGTGTGTGTGCGTGCGTGCGTGCGTGTGTGTGTGTGTGCGTGCGTGTGTGTGTGTGTGCGTGTGTGTGTGAAGGCGGGGGTGGTGATAGGAAATTTGAACAGCGAGGCTGTTCAAAGTAGCTGTGCCCGCATAACTGTGCCCGCATATCTATAATAAGAGGTGTGATCGCTTTTTTTCAGCACCATTTTCTCTCTCTCGAAATTAGACATCCACGTCGTACATATGTGACCATCCGCGGTTTAACTCAAACCTACCTGCGCTAAGAATGAACGCAGAAGCTACCCATCACTGCCCAGTTAAGGACTAGCAGCATCCTCGAGTAATCCTAGGAATAGCCTGCATCACTTAGCTAAAGCCTAGGAAAAAACATTGAAGCAATAAAATTAGACTACAGAGTAATCCGGTTTTGCTGTTTCAAGCCTTACGCCGCTCAGTGTGGGTTTTTTTTCTATTTTTCGGCGACACAGCCACTTTTTGGCGAGGACCAGCCGAAACGCCCCGAGCACTAACGTAACTATTCTGCTGATTCAGTCCTAACTCCGCGGCGGGGCTGCAGAGGCCGCAATTTTCGCGAGTCATCAGCGCAAGGCTGACCGAAACGGCGTCACCGACAGTCTTGCTGAGTAAGCAGAGGCAACACTCGCCAATCTGCCAGCTTGAGGCTGCAATACAATTACGTCCACGCTTTTTTCTAGAGACTGGAGTTTGTGTGTGCTTCCGTGAGATGGCCGGAGTTCCAAGGCCGCGTAGCTGCGCTTGTGTTAGTGTCTGACTCCCGGCTGGCTTGCGCTCGCTCTGCTGAAAACTCTGCACTATCCACTTTCACAACATGAATGCTTTGTCGTGCTGAAAACGTGCAGGGGATTCCTGATTTGGAAAAACCTGGCTAGCTGCTATAAGGCGTGTAAACAGAACATAAAATATGATACAGGCGGTGAATATCGCCGCGCGACAGAAGATGTCCCACTCTCGCTAATTCTTTTCATTTCAGTACACGCACTCTCAGGAAAAGTCGACATATTTTCGGGCAGGGCACACAATCAGGCTAGT